GCGCAGGGGTGTAATTTCAAATTTTGGCCTAAATTAAGCTTAATTCGGGCCAAAATTCGAAATAACGCTCATGGGCGAAAATACGGTAGTATTGCTGCATTGTTTAATTAACGTTATTAATAATATAGACCGTAGGTGGTAGTGCAAAATTTTTATACGCGACGGAATTCACAATTTCATCAGCCAATAATAATATTATAATAATTATCAGAATAAAATGTTCCAGAATCTTGAATTTGCGGCATTCCTTGCTCTGTAAATATTGTGTCATCCTCATTGTTATTAATCATTTGTCCAAGTTGGTTATTAAAAAATGTCAAGACTTCATCGATGCTAGGACGTTTAGAGGCTTCATGATCCCAACAACGTTGAATCATTTCTTGAATGGTTTTTGGTAATCCTGAAGGCATCTTTGGTCTATCATTTGAAATCAATATAGATGAAATCTCGTCACAAGACACATTAGAAAATGGACGACAGCCTGCAAAAATTTCCCACAATAACATTCCTAAACTATATATATCCGATTTCATACTATATTCTTTATGGTAATATACTTCTGGTGCAATAAATTGCCAAATCCCATAAACGCCTTGTTCTTGATCACTAATTGATCCTGACAGGCCAAGGTCTGTAATTCGAAAAAAATGCTTTTCATTTTCAACCAACACATTGTGATCATGAAGATCTTTATGAACCAAATTTTTTTTATGTATATGTTGCAATGATATACATAATGAACGAATCTGCCTTAATTTATCTTTTAAAGTATCTGAGGAATGATTAACTTTCAAATAATCCTGCAAATTTCCTCCTTCACAATATCCTAGGACCATTGCATAATAGCCGGTGTCAGGAAACTGGGTTACACCATAAAGTGGAACGATATTATCTGACTGAATTTTAGCATAGTTTTTTACCTATATTTAAATTATTTTATTAATGTTCATGCGACTATCATTTAAACATTAGCATACATACCTCTTTAAAAAAAGCACTGAAAAACCCTTTATCCCGTTTAACCAAAATTTTTAGTGCTACATCTTGTTTTTCATGACGTATAAACTCTCCTTTATTACTATTCCAATTCCTAATTGTCCCATTATTCCAAGTTGCTTTATATACTTCTCCAAAACTACCATTGCATATATACTTGATGTTCACAAGTTCAGAGTGAGGAATCCATTCGACCACCCTCTCCGAAGTTGCACATGACAATTGGCATTCTTGTATGAAATTGTCAATATCATTATTCCCAGAGGACCACGATCCGAATAATTTTTTTAAATTTTCTTTAGTACAATTTTCGCAGAATAAAATTGAATAATGTTCGAGATTGCAAACTTTGCAAATCATTGGGTTTCCGATTTTACTTTCTTCTTTATCTAATTCATGACCACTAAGAAAAGCAAAATAGAGCTTTTGTTTTTCATTTTCAGTTAATTCATCATGTTCAGATAATAAAGATAGATATTTATTAACGACATCTTCTGGAATTGACTTTGATGCAGTGACTATTGATGATGTTCTTATTTCGGAAAAGATTTGATGAGTATTAAGCGGTGGTCGCAAGAATTTGACAAAAAGTTGCTGACACATTACTTTCTCATCTTTAGTTAATTCATAACTATCAAATATTGAAATGTGACCTGACTCAGTACGTTCTTTTTCTAATACTTCAAAAATTGCGAGACAACATTTTTTCTCATATTCCGTTAATTCTTTATTACCAACTATTTCAAGCATAAAGCAACCAATAAAGCATTGAACGCCCTTTAGATACTCATCAAGAGAGTAAGGTGAATATTGGGCTTTTTGTGAAGCTGCATAACTTATTGTCTCATCAAAGATCTTGAAAACGTATTTCCATTTATTAGTGGCCATGTTATGATGAAGAAATGGATACTAGTATCTTCAGTAAAGGTTAAGACATATCGAATTATTAATTTACGCTAAAACATATGCATTTACTGATTTCATTGCGGGAATAAAACTCCGATTACTGTATACAGTTTACAACTATTACCATTTGTTTTTTTTAAAAATTTTGAGGTCATGCCTCTAACTTTATTGAAACTCAATTGAACCTTTACACATTTGTATCACAAATATTTATTAATAAATGCTATTATCAGGATTCTAAACTGTGTGAAATTTCAAAATTTTGCGTATCGATATCAGGTTGTACACGCTTCATATCAATGACAATATGACGAAATGTTGAATCACAAGTTCAAAAAGTTCAAGAGAGAAAAGGTGAGGGCTCCATCCCGCCAAATCGGAATGAAAATCTATATGAGCATCTGCTAAAAAGTCACTGTTTGGCACTTGCTTTCAAAATAGAGATTTTCCTAGCAGATGATCAATGTCCCGACTTTTCAATGAAGTGGTTTTTCACCCGCTTTGGCCCAGAAATCACTGTGCCGTCAATGATTGCGCCATTACTTTGTCGTCCGCAGTTCAATATGTACGTACAATATATACATTTTCTATCTTATGCGTATTATTAATTTGAAGATTGTATGATGAGTTGATATTAAAGAGGGCTCTCCCATGACGTTACTGGTTCGTTTCATCAAAAATGATTTGATACATGTGCATGAAACAAAAAATTGCAAGTTCGGAGTTTTTTTTTCCTATTTACACTCGTGTCTATAGTTATATCATATGAAAAAATATAATCTATTGTGCATAATAGTACAATATTTATCATGCGTAAGGTTTCGGGCACGCATTAGCCTAGCTTATTTATAAAAATTATAAATTAGGAAATAAAATAAAGAGCCAATACTTTTCATAAATTGCATAAATATAAGTCATACGTAAAAACTTGCATTTTATTTATGTTGGTTATACTTGAGTTTTGTTATCTTCAATTTTATGTTAACTAATGTTTTTCGAGAAAGCTTATTATAATGGAAGACTTAACTTTTATAAATGTTAACAATTTAGACCTCAAAAGTATCTTCAACTTCATAAATAATACTACCGACACAGATAGTTCTGACAAAGCACATGAATTAGCCGCAACTCAATTCTATTTGGTTTACAATTTTATAAATTGGACTAGTGGAAATAAAGAGATTGATTTATTTTTACGTAGCACACAAATCAATATTGAAATATATCAAAATTACAATTTAATCCTGGAGTGGATCCCTTATGAAAAATTCACTGATGTAAAGTATTTTGCAAAGGGAAGGTTTTCTAAAAATTATTATGCTAAATGGATCGAAGGTTTCATAGTTGGACACGATCTTGCTGGAAAGCACATCATAGAGTATAACAACTTAGGTCGCATTAAGCGAAGTAAAGATGATCATGCTTATAATGGTATTCTTTACAATGGCCAAGTTGTCCTAAAATCCATTAATATTCCTGAAAACAACATAACGAACTTGATCAATAAGGTATTCAAAAAAAAAAGAGATTTTCTACATTGCATCCCAGCTTTCTATCTAATTTATCCATTCTGTTTTCACCATTAGATTACCGGATATAAATATATTAATAGTGATTTCGTAGCAAGATGCTATGGAATAACCAGAAATCTAGAAAATGAATATATGCTTGTTATTCAATATGGAGGACAAAGTCTAAGAGAAATTTTAAGAAGAATGCATCCAAACAAATTTACATGGAAAGATGTGGTCTATGCACTTCGTGACATTTCTCGCGGTCTTGTAGATATTCACCATCAAAATTTGATTCATGGAAATTTGCATAGTGGAAATATTTTGATCAGTAATGATGGTACCTATTTTCGCATTACTGATTTAGGAATCTGTTGGCCAATTAATCAATCATACGATTCATATTTGGCGCCAGAAATATTGAATGGTGATACGTATACACAAGCAGCTGACATATATAGTATTGGTTCTCTTATGTACGAACTCGTGACAGGTTATCCGCCAATTCGTGGAAAAATTGACACTGAATTTGCTCTTAGTGCACCTGAATTCTATCAGGAGTTGATCAACCAATGCTGGCACCATGTTCCGATGAATAGACCATCTGCAAGGCAGATATACGATAAATTCGTTATTTGGTGGTCAGGTGGTCAGAAAATAGTAAATCTTGGAGATGCTATGACTGTGACATCTTCATTTCGTAATCTGCTATGAATTCAAACTTCAGTTTCTATAAAAACATTTAGTAAAATTTTGATCACTTAAAATAATGATCAATGACTATATAATGTTCATTTTTTAATTCAAAGATATGCAAAGACATGATTCATGAAAGATAGCTAAAATCTTCTATCTATGGTTTCCATATTCATAAAAAATCAAATTTAATTTGTCTGTATATCAATTATATAATATTAATATACCAACTTGTTTACACAACTACAGTTGATACTGTCTAATTGCATACTGTCTAATTGCATATACTCACTAAATGCATAAAACATTTTGGCTTTTAATTATTACCTCCAAAATGGTTCTTATGACTTGAATGCATATACTGTCTATATGTATAAAAAAGTCTTTGATGGATAGCATGCAATTAGATAGTATCGACTATATTTTATAAACTAGCAAACCCAACAACAATTGTATTTTTATTGAACTACTACTAAAACAATTATATATTTTAAGGTTAGAGCTTTGAATATTAGCTTTGAATTTAAAAAAAGATTATCTATTAATATATGAATAATAAATGATGCGAATCATATTTGGGTTTCTATTTAACTTCTTAAAACCTACTTATACTTGTTTACTATAAATTCTATCTATAAAGCTGACCTCTAACCCTAAAAAAAAGCCAAAAAAATGCATCCCAAAATTTGTATTTTTTGGTAGCTTTTCTATTATACTTTATACAAAAATTCTATTTTAATTTGTTACAATTAATGTATTGTTTTTATAAAAGCAAACATAAGCTTAGTTTAATAATTCTAAAGTTATGAAATCAGATATCTCAGATATTCTATAGAATAACGAACTTATTCAAATTGCAAATTGAAATGCTAATGGATGTTGGCAAATAGAACAATAAAACAAAAGCTCAATTTTTTTGTCTTCAATATAAAAAATTTTTTTTATTAATAATTTATAATTCTTTAAATATATTGTTAGAGTATTAATAAAGTAATAAATTTATTTTATTTTATTTATTTTTTTTTTTGAATTTGCTGTATACATGATAAAATTAGTTACAGATTTGTATCAAGATGATATTAATTTTAACTATCTATTATATCTTGTATAACCACCTAAGTGTAGCAAAACACCTCTTAATTTTCTATTTATAAACTAATTTAAGACTAGCTACCATTAGTTATAGAGGGGAAAGAGGAAACCCAGAAAGTAATAAATTTAAAATATTTTTATATTTAATTAATAAATAGAAAAATAAAAATAGTAAATAGAATTATATGTCAATAGAAAAAGTATAGTAAAATGCCAACCCTGGTTAAAATATTTGCACACAAATGATATTTATCAAGACCTGATGAGGTTTAACTTAATTTTTTTATTTTCAATATTAAATTATATGATTATATCTATTTGTATTCTATGAATATTTTATGAATAATAGTAAGGTCTTGATTGTGAATTCAGAAGTATTGAAAATTTTGAATAGTTTTTTTAGATATAGTGTATCTATATTCAAGTACTGTAACCTTTATTCATAATAACACTATCTGAGATATTAATAAAAATTTAGAATATCATTATAGTAACAAAAATACTGTTACTGATAGATTGGTGGTACTGTTTTTAATAGAGTAAAAAAAAAAATTTGATTTACATATCATTCTTAATAGAGTACAAAAAAAGGGCTCTAAAATACTATACTATTATAATAAAAAAAGGTAGATTAGAGTTTATTTTTAGAACTCTATCAGGAACAATATTTAAATAAAATTTTTTTAACTTCATCAAAATTGGTATTGCAGATTTATTAGAAATCGAATTTTTGTATTATAGTGGATTATCTTAACATTTATATATTTATATTAGAACTATAAAAAAAAATTTATTGGTATAGAAAAATTTACTATAATGCTATTATAACTACAGTCAGACCTCTCTAAATGCATAATGTTAGGACCATAGTAAAAAATTGAAAAAATATGCATTTAAAGAGGTTATATATTTAGAGAAGTAAAAATCTATAAGTGTTATATTAGTTGGGCCCAAAAAAAGACTTGCATTTAGAGAGGTTTTTCTTATATATGCATTTAGAGAGGTTGCATTTAGAGAGGTCCGACTGTATATTGATATATCTAAATTTTAAACTGTTTGAATATAAAATTCTTTTGCATAAACTATACAAAAAAAATTAGCCCAGCTTTATTATAAATATTTGATTAGTTGAAATTTATTTGCAATTTTATCTTGGCATAAAACAAAAAAATTTTATAGCTTTTTATATCTTAAATATTAACATCTTTGTTTTTTATATTTATCAGGTGTCAGTAGATTTGACTCTATTTGATGAACTCTTCATTTAGAAATTAATTTTATTTTTGAATCAATATATGGACTAATTTTTGTAATATTTGCTTTTATAAAAGACTAAATTTAAATAATTTTTAGCTAAAAATAATAAATAAAGAAAATTGGAACAAATTTATTTATAGATACTTATAAAAAATTTCATATATATTATTATTCTTTCAGATAAAACTAGAAAATTTTGGATATACAGAAGCTTTTATATTTACATAGGCAATATAACCTTTGATGTATTATGCATCAAAGCAGAGATATTTCAGTATAATAATCTAAAGCACAAAAGTTTCAAGATTATTATAATCATTTATTTTATTATTAAGCTAAAGAATAATCTGTTAGTTCAAGATATCACACATAGTTCTGATAAGCTTATAATTATAGATGTAAAATTCAGTAATATTATCAAAATCAGATGGCCTTGTCTGCTTGTATATAAATGTTTCTTCTTAGCTGTGCTACACTTAAGCTAAACCATTCACATATTTTATACATAACACTTTATTAACAAATAAACTATTGTTAATATTTTATCAATATTTACTACTTCTGACTGGGACTTTAAGTCTATGGGTAAATAATAATGTTTAATCACTACAAATAAATATAAACAAATTGAATTCACTTATATTCTCTGATTTATATCACAGATAAATATGAGATTTATAAATTGTGAATTGTATTAGTTTTTTCTAGATCACCTGATTTTAGTATGTTAATTGGAGTATTAAGTCTGTATCAAGCTTTCACTTATTTAGTTAAAGTGTCTTTTAGCTACTTTGCCAAACAATTAAAAACAATTAAAATTATTTGAATCAAAAAGATAAAATAAAATAAAGATGAATCTAATTGTAACAATATATTACATGATTACTGGATTATTTGTAACAACTTAGTATAATAAATTAAAATAGCTAAAAATTTATGTAGCTAAAACAAGTTGTTATATAATATGTTGTTACAAATATATTTATATATTATTTATAATAAAATAAATAATAATTCAATATTCTTTAAATCTTAGAATATATTTATTCAAAAAAAAATTCATATCAACTTTTTCTATTTTTCTGTTTAGAAAATAAATTTTTTCTACATTACTTCAGAAACAACATTTGTTAATTGTGAAGTGGGTCTTAAATCTATTATGTCACTATAGTATAAACTAAAGATGAAGTTAGTATTAAAATTGACTTATGTAATTATAAGAGCTGTAATTACAATAGCTAATTTTACTTACTCAAACTTATTTTTATATTCATTATGATAATTTTAAAAATCTTCTCCAAATTGTTATCGTCTACTATCAACACATCACTTTTTATTTGTCTAGCTATAAACTCTACTGCTTTCTGCAAATAATGATCTGTATTATTAATTATATTATAACTATTATCATTGTTTTGTATTTCTTGATAATTTCGATTTGTTGGTGTTTGTGTCTGAGCTTTTGTAAATTGAAAAGAAGCTATATGTGAAGGAATGATTTGAACAATGTTGTTTGTTATTTATATAAAAATTTTAGTAATAGCAATTTAATAGTATTAGAAATAGTTTAAATTAATCATATACTAGTTTGTGTATTAAATTTTGCTTTAGAATATTCTGTATTTCTTTTTGCTCTACTTTAAATCCTTCTTGCATTATCTGATAAACAGCTCATCTTTTTTCTTTCTGTTGTAACAAAGTTCAATATAACTAAGTAAGAGGCCATTGATTGCATTAGAAAATTAATAGATCTATCTGATCAATTTCTAATTTTAAATCAATTATATCAGATACTATATTTAATAAAGAATTTTGATTCATTCCTTTCTAAATTTTATCATTCTAGAGTATTATTATTTTGATTAAAAAAAAATAATAAATAAAATAAAATAAATAAATAAGAATAGTTAAGTAAAATGATATAATTTTGAAATGACAAGTAGAAAAAAGGTTTACAAAATATCACAGATACTTGTTTTGACTAATATTTTTATGCTTATACATTAGCAGTACTACCTGTTAGTTTTTATCAGTGCTAAAAACCTTTTTAACTAGCAGTTTTCAAATTAGATATGAAGTATGTTAATTGTGTTTTAATAGCTATGCACTAGCAGTACTATCTGTCAGTTTTTATCATTACTAAAAACCTTTTTAACTAGCATATGCTAGCACTATTACAAAGTCAATTACTTTTTTTTAATTTATTCTGTATATTGCAAATAATTTTATAAACAGAATTTGTAGAATCAAATATTTTTTTTAGAATATTCAGTTCTATCTATTAAAACTAAATAAAAATTGTATTTGCATAGCCTAGTAAACATCCTAATCATTTATGTTTCTCTATATATTTGGATATTAGTTCCAGTAATCTATTGACCAAAATTTTATTCTATTGTTCTAATTATAAAAATAAGAACAGATATAATAGCAGTTGACTAACCTGGGTACATCAACTTGTTATAATCTTCACTTAAAAAGTATCTTATATCAAAAAAACTAAGATACTATTATACTGTGCTTTTTAATATAAGTTGGTAAAACATGCAATATAATCAAAAATTTTTAAAATTTTCACAATTATGTAGTGATTAACAAAAGCCAGCCAATATAGTCTCAGATTTTATCAAAGAAAGAAGATATAAATCATTTAAAGCCATATTTGAATATATAATACAAAGCTAATAAAGTTGTTTGTTTTGATCAACATAAATCAGTCTAAAGAAACAAATACAAAAAAATACTGTATAGTAGACAATTTTTATTATACAAATCTTTCAAATTTGAAAATTGTAACTTAGGATCAAGCCACTCAATAAAAAATCTAAAATCATTAATCATATAATATTAATTAATAATTCTTCAATCAACAGAACAAAAATTTTTTTTTTTATATATAGTACAGAACAGCAAAAAACATAATATAAAGTGCCAAATTTACAATTATTTAATCAATTTTGATTGGCTAATTTTATATAAAAAATTTTAATTGGTTAAAAAAAAATATAAACTATTTTTTTTATATAGTAAATACCAAATTTTTAATTTTTAATAATGAGCATTAACCAATAAAATTGCAAGCACGTGATCTGTGCTAAATATGATTGGTTAATTTCGTTATGTCAAATTTCTGCTTTACTAATAAAATTACCAAACTTTGATCACTTATAACTTTTGTAAAAAGCAAGATATTAAAAATCTGTTTTACAGATTTGTAGTTTAGTTTATAAATAATAAATCTGTAAGAGGAATTTTTAAAATAATTATTTGTTATAAAACTATTAGACATTTAACAATTGCTAAAAAATTGGATGTTTTTTGCTGTCCCGTACTGTACAAATCAAACCTATCTATTTATAGTAATAAAACTTTCAAAGCTATATTATTTTTAAAAATAAATATATATGTTGTAAAGTTCCTAGTGATTTCTCACATTTTCTGGAATTACACAAAAAAACATAGTAAAAATATTTCTAAAACAAGTAATTACCCAATTAGATTTGTACTTACTATGTAATCTATTACACAAAAAAAAATTGCCATGCATATTATATAATAAATAATCTACATATACTCTATCCTTAAACTGTCAACTTTGTCTGTAAGAATTTAAAAAACTTAACCAATAATCTACAAAACCCAAATCTATTAAAATAAATTAATAAAAAACAAAATTTCAGCAAATTGGTCTGAATTATGAGTCAAGGCAGCATTAAGAAATAACAACTAACTATATTACACCAAAATTTTTATCTAGGCAGCTTTATTTAGTAAGTGGATTATAATTTCATTAGTAAAATTTTGAGTGATCTTGGGCAAAATTAATCAACGCCGGTGCAATCTAATTCATAATTCAGGCCGATCTGCTGAATTTTTGTTTCTTCGCTAATTTATCTATCAAATTAGAACCCTAGATGGGTTATATCTGGGTTAAGCATAAGGCAAATGTGGGTATTTTGACAAATGTAGGTATAATGACGAATTAACATATTACAAGAAAACTAGACTTTTTCTAAGAAAATCAAAACTTTTATTTTTTACTTATTTCAAATTTTGGCACTATAATTTTTTATTAATAAGATTTTTCGTTAAACATCTTTGCGCAGCAAATCAATTTCCTGCGAAGCACGAATAATTTTTTATTTATAAGTTTTTTCGTTATGCATTTTGGAGCGAAAATTTGAAAGTAAAGATGGCATTTCGAACAACTTTACTTAATGAGTAAAGTTTAATTTACTTAGCAAAAAAGTCTTGCTTTAAGTGTAAAATGATTCTCAACTAAAAATTGATGTATATTAGTATTCATACTGATTGATGACTATTAATGTTAGCGTTCGTCAAAATACCCACAGGGAAGTTAAAAATTATTGTTACATTGCCACCATATAATTTATATAAAATGTGAGTTTTTTCTTTCTAAATTGTGGTGCAGATTTAAATTTACGTAGTCCATAAAGCTTTAAGTTTTTTGACAGACTTTTGTTACGTACGTAGTAAGAAATACCCGCATTTACCTTACAAGGAAATTTTTTGTTAGTATGCAAAAAGGCGGTTTCATTACAATTTTTACGTTACACCTGATCTTGTTGTCTAATTGGCTAGCTTCGAAAAATCCCGTGATAGTAACTTTTTGCCAGAGTCAAATTGGCCATATGACAGTTTATAAAAATACTTTTTTTTTGCAAAAATCTTATCCAATAAAGTTTACGCTTTTAGTTATGACCGATCCTGAAAGCAAGTCAACCGTCACGGAGTCTTTAAAGCCTGAAGAGGTATGTGATCGACGTGCTCATGCCTGTCATAGTTTCAAAGCATATTTCTAACGCTTCAAATATGAATTCTAACAGGAGGATGTGCCCCCCGCTTCGCCTGATGTTCATTTTGAACCAATTATTAAGCTAGATGAAGTGGAGGTTAAAACGTTTGAAGAGGATGAGGACGTACTGTTCAAAATGTGAGTTTGATTAGAATAAGAGTTAGCAATATTTATAAGTGTCTTGGAAACGTTCACAAATAACAAAAATGAACTATCCCAGACAAATTGACATTTCAACAGTAAATTCACTTGCATTAAACTGCCGTTACTCGGCTTGATAATGAATTGCAAGTTCGCTAAACTGTTGAAAATTCAACTGGAAGAAATTCTGTAGGAAAGATATCACATGTTTTGATTTCTCTTACTCTACGAGCTTCCAAACACTTATGTCATTAATTGACTTTCTGGAGCATATATTATGAATTTGCATAAATAATCTCCAAGTATTTATCAATATGATAGTTTTTACTAACAACAATTTGTCATTTGTAGGCGCGCTAAGCTATTTCGATTTGACAAACCTCTGAAGGAATGGAAAGAACGTGGCACTGGTGATGTTCGTTTTCTTCAGCATAAAGAAACAGAAAAGATTCGCCTGGTAATGCGGAGGGATAAAACTCATAAAGTTTGTGCCAACCATTATAGTGAGTCTAGCATAATTGTGCTGGTGTAAATATTTGTCTCAATTTTGCTTCCATCAGATGATCTTAGTGTAATTAATATTGTTATTTGTTGATTCTTTTTTTCAACTAAAATTTTCGTAGTCACTCCCGAAATGCAGCTTTCTCCAAATGTTGGATCCGATCGTTCGTGGGTATGGAATGTTACTGCTGATATTTCTGATGGTGAATCAAAACCGGAAACCTTAGCAATTCGATTTGCTAACACAGAAAGTATGTTATATGAATTTCATAGACTAATCATTGTTCAAATGAATATTTAAACATTTGTTTTATATTCAAATTAGATGCCCAGATCTTCAAAGAGAAATTTCTTGAAGCGCAAAAGATAAACTCCGATCTTGCTAAAAAAGGACACGAACAAGTCAAAGAAAAAGATGTTAAAAATGAAAAAAATGAGGACAAAGTAGAGTTTAGAACCGGGTTATAGTAAACCGGGTCACCCGTGTCAAAACGGTTCAACCGGGTCAAAAATTTACAACT